GTCACCTCTGATCCTAGACGAAACACGAATAGATAATGGGTTGGTGGATGGACGTCTAACTAATGAATAATGAGGGGTAATAGTATCTGAACACCTTTTACAAAACGAGACGATGATATGACACAAATCGATATGAGAGAATAAATCCAGACTCAGGCATCGACTTCTTACTACAGTGGAGCTGAAACATCCCGCAATGCTATATGCTTATAGTCCGCAGCTGAAGAAAATGAGAGGTAAATGAGATGCAGTGGCCGGGAGCGAAGGGTCATACTCACTGTTCTTCCAGACGTCGTTGCCCCACCAACGCAGCTGAATGTTGCCATTCTTCGGAAACTGAAGGAAAAATCAGTACCCTTGTTGTGTCTGGTCTTATGAAGGAACTCAGCGTACCTGCAACGTGAAGAAGATAAATATTAACGAGATCGCAGTCCCCGTATCAAGCCCCGCGCTCGTGATATAATTGAACTTGCTCCACCACGCAAAGTTCCTCCTCCTGATGAGAAACTGGAAGATGAACCCCACGGCGAACCACGACGAATAATTGATACCCGTAGCGGGCGGGATGCCCGATACGCCGTTCAGGACGACAGGCGTGTTCACAAACTTGACCCATGAGTTCGGATAGCGCCGCTGCCACAACCAGAACGGCACGGGCAGGATCGCACCGACGATGATGGCGTACAACTGGGGGTGATAAAGGGTGCCATCGCCGAACTGCCTGCTTGGACCGACTAAGCCCCTATAGACGGCATTGGATATTCAGTATACGTGCGATGGCATCCGAAGACGGCGTGCACACGAACCATATAGCTGATGCGGTAAAGAATACTTGATTATGCGGACATATAAGTTGGCTGCCTTGATTAGGCTGACAGATATCCGGAATATTGTCGAACATCCATTGCTTAACAGCAACTTGGACGAAAGCAGCAAGGAGAGTTGCAACAGCTTGAACTGCGGTCGATAGCTCAGCAAAGGAGAAAGGCCGCCTGTAAGCGCGGAGACGCACCCAAGAAAGTCGCTCGTGGTGGTACTTTGATATAGTGCCCAAGCTTGAGATCTTGAACAAAAGATGTTGCTTCCGTCAACGTCTGTACCGAATAGGCCTTAAAAATCATGTTGGCCAGTGGGTTCCCGGGCAGCAGCGTCCCTGGGATGATTTGCGCCAGCAAGTTCAAGGTTATCTAAGAGCAGCAGCGTCAAGGACAGTGGTTCATATCATATACTCTCCAAACTTACACCCTGCCCTGTCATGGCGTAGATGAAACCTGATGGCAACACATAGACTATGGGCAGCAACACTGACAACAGCAGCGCCCAAATCGGGACACCAGTGTGCCAGACCTAGTAATGCCGTTAGCCCATCCAAGTCGCATCCGCTCCGGTGGATATGCCTACCTCGACGGACACAATCGCTAAGGCGAAGAACAGCACAAAGGCCGTCAGATACCACCAGTCCGGCACCTCAGGGTAATTCCGCATCAACTTGGCATGGATGTCGTCCTTCTCGATACGTATCCGCTTGATACCATTGATTAAACTGCGACCATGGTAGAGGACAGTGTGGACAAGGACGCAAGTTGTCAAGGCGAATGCGATGAGGTACGTCACAGCGTAAGTGGCGGGAAGGTAGAGTGGGGAGTACTCCTCGTAGGCCGTGAGGTTGAACCTGTCATCTACCTGGAGAACGCGCGAAACATTGTACATAGTGCCGTACCGATCATATGGCTCATTGCCAGAGATCGGGAAGTACGCAAGTTTCCACGTCTACCGCGCACCGTGATGCTCAGTTCGCAAGAATCCGATAGAGAGGCTGAACTTACGTTCGTGTAATACAGGATAGGGGTGAGGATCCAGAAGAACAGAATAAAACCTGAGACGGCTGTAAGGGACAGTCCGATCCGACCGAGATTGATACTCACCTCCGAAAATATGCATTTCAGCCCACCAGGGAATCATCAGGGGACTGCCGATCCAGGTGATCTGGGACCAATCGAAGGTGACAACGCTCATCCCCAAGCCCGAGTAGACCCCAAACAGCTGATTGACAGGGACATTGTTGGGGAGGATCCAACACAGCCACGAGAATACCGAGAGGCCGGTAAATAGGAAGCCTTGTGCAAAAGCTCAGCCAAGTGGTTCCGCGACTAATAATCGAAGTCACCTACCGGGAAGGAAGAAGAAGAAGAACGCTCCTGCGAGGATGTACATGAAGAATCTGTACCTCGAGATACCACCGCTACCTTCGTCGTCTTCGGCATGAAGGGTGTTGAGGAGCGTGCAGGCGACTAGGTTCTGAGGCCACACCATGCTAGCGGGCCAAACTAGGAAGCGCCGACATAGCCCGGCCAGACCGAAGCCTGTGAGCTGAGTAGCGAGAACGAACACGAGGTTGAACCAGAAGCCAAGTCTCATGTGGTAAAACACCTCAGACACGACGATTGCGTTCAGAGCATATGGTGGGCCAACTGCGACGTTGGCCATGATAAATACCAGTACGTGCTCCTTGATATTCCAGGGTCCTGGGTTCAACGAGAACTCCTGAGAACCTAACCAGCGAGGCAAGCGATATGTCTTGATGGGCAGGGAGAAGGCGAGGAGCTTCCCAACAGGGTAGGACACGAGGAGAAGAACCATAGGAACAACTGTTGGGGCGGGATAGCGGAAGTTGAAGAAGACGTTCATGGCGCTGAATGTGCAATGGTGAGAAGAGGAGAGACATGAAAGAGTCTCACATACCCTCCAATCATGCAAAGCGCCAAGCCGACAATCCACATACGGATGGTCATCGCAGGCATGTCGGGGTCGTCGATATTGGATACGGATGCACGGACTTCTGGGAAAGGACTGTCCTCTTCCTCGATGGCGTCAAAGTCAAACTCCATCCTGCGCAACCGTCAGCGAACACATATGGACATAGTATCGTACGCACTTTATTGATCCCTCCCTGCTATCGTCGTCCTCTATCATGCTCGGGCTAATGCTCAAACTCGCCGTGTCCACAAATGATGCAGATCCTGCTTTCGATTTGGAACATTCCGCATACTCTTCCTCCGGAACAGTGGCCTTCTCGCAGTCGCCGCCAGGGGGCAAAGCAACGCGCACTTCTCGCGAGTAGTCGCTAGTTCGAGATAGGGATGAACGGCCAGTTGTCGAAGTAGTCTGTGGAGGCTGGCTGACTCTACGCATGCGATAGGGATCATCAGAGGTATGAGAGGCTGTAGACGGCGGGCTTTCGACGGGAGTATGGTGCGTAGGAACTGGGGGCGTCTGATACGGGTCATAGGGTGGACGAGGTGATGAGGGGTCAAAAGCGGGTGGTGGATAGGTAAGGAGTGGATTCGGAGAAGCGAACGGGGTAGCATAGGCTGAGTAAGGGGATTGCGGCGTTGGGTCGTTGGAAAGATCGTGGTAGTGGTGTTGCGGGTGCTGTTGGCGCGACTGGGCAGCCATCGCTGCCTGCACCCGCTGCAGCTCCTCGACGCGCGCTTGCTCCTGCTGCTCGGCCGTCGACGGCGGTAGATATGCAAAGACATCCTCCTCCTCGCTCTCCTCCTCTTCCTCTTCCTCGTCAAGGGAGTACTCGTGCGAATAGGTGTATTGGGGGTCGTGGTCGAAGTAGGCGGCACCGCCGGCTGACGTCGACACTCGTGCTGTGGAAGGGCGCCCTGTGTATGGCCTAGATGATGAGGTCGTCGGACGCGCCATGGTCGGCGCAGGGGAAGAGCGTCGTCGTTGTTGTTGGCGGCGGGAAAGAAAGGTTATCGGGCGCTGTCCAGCCAATCACATTGGCAGGCACCATCACCGGCTAGGCACGGAGCGGTGCTATCATCCTGCCCTTCGCCGGCCGGACTGCTCCGGCCGTTAATTATAATTCACGTAATTATCTCTATTCGTACTACCACGACTGTGTCCTTTGCGGAAGCGCACTTCATTTAGGTACGATATGCACTACAGTACGTACTACTACAGCCGTCTGGAGACGAGTCTTATGCTCATGATTTTCACTCTCATCCTTACCAAGTATAGGGCTCGGGCGCGAGTAAAGTGGCCGGTCAGGTACGTGCCTTCATATAGCAATATCTGGGTCATCCGAAACGTTATTGAAGTCAAGACGAGGCATGTCCGTATATGCAGAATGTAGTCTGGACGTCCGCCTTCCGTTGGAAGGCCACCGAGACCGTCGCGCACTGCCCAGTGCATCCTGAGACTCGGCGGAGGAGGACGGAGGTGGAGCATCTCGTGATGGTTCACAGCCGAAGTCCTTCTCGCCGAGGCTCAGACCATGTCTCAGCGGGCACACAGTCCAAGGCTGAAAGCAAGTCTGCGACCTGCTTGCGGGTGAGTTGAGATTGCCAGTCTCTAGGACGCATGAGACTTGTGATCTCATTACCATGGGCGTGCCTTACAAGCCCACTGCCTCAGGAGTCAGGCACCGTAGGTCCTCACCTTGTCAATGCCTACCATTTCATTATGCTTTCGTCTCATGGACGTCTATCCCCAGGCGAGCGTTACCTGATTAATCTTAGACCTGATATAGCCTGACATATGCGAGACGACATTGCCGCCTCAAGTCTCCCGACTTCAGGAACTTGCTGTAAGTGATATCAATTTCGTGATGGTGGCTCACTCATTGACAAGCCTAGTGCCGCCGTCGCAGAGATTATGCCTCGCCGCGGTCGGTGTTCCAGCGATCTGGAGAGAGACGAGATGAAAAGGCGTGCCTGTCTTACCTTCATCAAAGTGGAAATCATTCCCTTGGATGGCCGAACCGCCATGACATCCATCCCAGGTTACGGTATGTCAAGTATCACATTTATTTAGGGAGCGCAGCTTGGAAAGCCCATGCTGCCTCTTGGGAACGATAAATGTAGCGGGACCGTCATCATCGACTTGGATATTGAGACCAACTTGGATATTGATCATGCGCCGGCCTGGGGACTCGTCCAAAGTATCTGTATGCTATATCTATGGTTTTGTATGGAACGAATTCGCAAGCCCTTATAGCTCAGTGGTAGAGCGCATCACTCGTATTCCGCTTCGGCGATGATGAGGTCCGTTGTTCAATCCAGCGTGGGGGCAATCTTTTGCTTTTGCCACAAATCCGAAAATAGCACGAATTACCTTGGAATTACCGATAGAATTTGGCGGCCTTCGCCCAGAAACTTGGTAACAGGATAGCTCGTTACAGGATAGCTCGTTGCATGCTACTGCCATATAGTTTCTCTACGTGCGTCGCTCGCGCAGTCCTCTGGAAGCTCGGTCCAAGTTAGTTTTACCTATGCTTAACCGAAACGTTCCTGCTGATAGCTAAGATGCAGTCAAGGAATTTTGGCCGCATCATGCGTTCTCGTACGACCTACCGGCCAGCCGTATTGTATGATGGTTCTCTTTACAGTGCGGACCCGCGTCAGTGACCATGGCGTAATATGATATACGACGAGCCTTTGCTTAAATTTGGCCTGTAGCAGCTCACGTATAATCCTCTGAATGAAAGCTACTCCCGTCTAGGAATGGAAGCTGATTCGTTCCTGGACATGAGCAATCAAGAGTACGCGCGAGCGCATCAACCGCAAGCGTCACCATCAAATTCGGGTACCATTGGGATACGACTACTGTACACATTATACAAGTGTGAGGTGGGTGATGATTACTATACAGGTGTGAGGTGGGTGATGATTACTATACAGGTGTGAGGTGGGTGATGGTTACTATACAGGTTTGAGGTGGGTGGGTTGGGTATCGCGCGTACTAATAGACTAATTCACTATTACGAGTCCGTTGTAACTCTCCATCCCCAGTGCTTTTTTCATTACATTGACCGGGTTGAACTCATCCTCGGACGTCTTCTTCACTTCTCCGGCCTCTCCATTCTGGCTCACGGCGGTCCATTCGCTCATATCCTCCTGATCAGATTCTGTTTCCTCGCCCATGAAAGCCTTCAGCATCGCAGGGGAGAACCCGGACATCAAGGCCGTACCCTTCCGCTCAGCCTGCACCGGAACGCTCGCGAACTGGGGGCTGAGGTTCCAGTACACAATCTCAGGGACCTCGTAGCCAGCCTCTCGGTAAGCCTTCTCAATGGCGTCGTGATTCGTCTGCCAGTGCGCAGGGTCTCGGGACGTCCCGTCGGCCTCGTCGAATTGCATGTCGGAGAATATGAACAGACGCTTAATCATATCCTCTGGCTTGACAGCGTGCTTGACTGCGAGCGGGAGAAGAAGGTCGACGAAGACGGCGTGGAGGTTGGTGTTCATTCCCCAGTCGGACGCCTGCATCTTCTGCAGTGTCGCAGCAAGTCCCTGCTCTTCAGGATTGACCTCCACGAACCGCGGGCTCGCCGAGAAGGTGATGAAGCCGTTGTTGAAAGGCGGCTTCCCCAACTGTGCCAAGACTAGAGAAAGTGCAAGCGCGGGCCATATCGGCTGCACCCCCTTATTTCTGTCCGTGTACGCAAGCCCCATCGAACCGGACACATCACACACAGCTAACGAGTTCTCCAGAGTACCAGCTTCGCGTAGTCGGGCTATGAGCGTTTTCCACTGCCCCTCAACGACACGCGCTTTCATCTCCGCAATCTGCTTCTTCACATCCTTGATCGAAGGCCTTTTGGGGTCGGGGACATGATGCAAGTAGTCCAGTCCCACGAGCACTTCTTTCACCAGCTCATGGGGCATTAGGGTCGCCCCGCTGATGGTCTTCTTCCCGGACTCGACATCCATCAGGTAGCGAGCAAAGCCCTCAATATTGTGACGGGCAAAGTGCTCCTTGTTCTGCTGCATACACAGCGACGGGACGCGGTTGTACTCGATCTCTTTCCACCGGTTGGCAGACATCAGCGGCTCTGGGCAGGCGAGAGCTGAGCGAAGCGGTCGCAAGATCCACCGCTGGTAATACGACCGAGCGATATGCGCCCCAATAACAGGCCATCCCGACTGAGCGTCTAGCGGCTCGGACGCGTGTATGTGCCCTGCTCGGTGTAAAAGCTGACATATCGCAGTAGCGATGTTCGTCTGTCGGTCATGCGACCCGCCAGGCGTCGGCGCCCACTTCCCGGCTAGAGACAGCTGCCTTAGGATATCCAAGCGCTCCTTGCGCTCGGCGTCCTCCGGCAAGGACTCCAGACTCTCCAGGGTTTGCACGTCCTCTGCCAGCTTTCCCGCGAAAAGCCGTGCGACAGCGACATACAGCGCTCGGTACTTCGCGTCCTGAAGTTTCCCAGTAAGCCGCTCATAGGACACCGCATGAGCGCGGACACGCTTTTCTTTTGCTGCCTCCTTCACTTGAGCGTTATACTTGATAGCCTCCTGTATACGAGCGGCTCTCTCTGCCTCGTCCTTGGCTCTCACCTCCGTCTTTGCCGAATTGCGCATCCAATTTCGCCTGGGTGTCCTTGGCGAATGGAGGAATTTTGCGCTGGACGGAGTCTCGAGAAAGCCAAGTTCGTCGAGCGTGGCTAAGCCGAGGATATTGAGCAGGTCCTTCCAGTATCCGTGGCATCTGTCTTCTCCCCTGCGGTTTTTTGACCCTTTAGCTTTGCAGACAGGAGCTACCAGATACGGCAGATTTGAGATGGCCGTTCTCGGGTGGTTCATGTACAGCCACGCAAAGGTCCTAAGTGAACGACGCAAGCAGGTATCAGACAGGTGAACAACCAGGCATGTCCATGAAACGATGCTCACTGATAGAACAACTCCTTCTCGCCCTTACCGTCATGAATACTCCTGGTATTCCAGATTAGCCTCAAAGTGACGCCGGGATCCTCTTTCCACGCTTTCGTGAGCGCTGAGTCGATAGTGTCCCAGGACGCGTAGCTGGTCAGAGACTGGAACGCGTTCAGAGTCGCTGACCCTGTAGAGTTGAAGGCGGGAGAGTCGTTCCATGTTAGCGTATGGTTAGTTGTGGATTTTAGCGCATCTATCATGGGGTTCCCGGGCGTCTCAACCGCGCGAGCCACAGGAGCCGGCTTCTGCGATGCGGGAAGGAGCACATCGAGGAAGTTGGGATTGTAGAGCTCCTCAATGAAGGGGAGCGTTACCGTTTGCGAGGTCGCTACTGCTGCAGGGGTAGAAGCCATCCTGACTGTTGCGTAAATCCTGGCCCTCGAAACATGTTTATATACTCGCAGAGCCCGTCGAATATTAATCATGTCGAGTCAACCTGCAGGCTGTGCAGCCGTCTACAGTAACGAGTCAAGTGGAGCCCGCGCTGTCACCAAAATTGCAGGTACCGGATGACTTTGACTTGCAAACAGGCAAACAGCAAACTTAAACAGACGGAGCCGATTGCCATCCTGGGACCCACAATACGGCCATTCAATTTCCAGATTTCTATGCAATCAGGAGCGACTTCAATGGGAAATAGCAACTTCAATGGGAAATAGCAAACAAGAGAGAGCACGTTATACAACACGCCTAGCGCGACAGAATTTCTCAGGCACGTAAAAGGCGAAGCTGCCGGCCTTTGGCCTACGGCCTATGGCGCCTGGCCGGAGCTGAACTTCGGTGCTGTACTTAGCTGCGGAAAGCTGTCAGTCCATACGCTGGATGACTCACCTGAGTCCGACTCCGAGTCTGCGACATCCAGTGTCTCTGAGGGACCACCCTCACCCCGCCCACACCCGGGTGCCTCACGACTCCTCCAGATACTAGTCTCCAAATCCATGTACCTACTGTGGGTACTCCGATGCGAGCGTGTTATCCAGGACCGCCAACACTCTGTTGATGCAATCGTCACCCGCTGGAAAAACGCCATAAATCGACGACTTGATATCGATCGCACTATAGCATCCCGGATCCGTCGCTCACCTAGAGCCATCAAAAAGGTCGCCCAGACCTGGCATGGCACCTTAGCCGACGAGCACCTCCTTCCTAGGGATTGGGCCTCCCGCCCTGAGGTTTTGGCGGGTATTAGGGCACCTATTGCTCCGATTCAAAGGAGTTTACGGGTGTATAGTCCTACCTGAGTCCCGCACTCCCCGGCGCTCGCCGGGGGTTAGAGCGTAAACTAGCTTTTTGCCTCGGACCGAACCGTGTTCTTCACGTGTTCGCTATAGCTGGTTTGGCAGGGTTGTACCGATTGTCAATCGCTGCCCGACCATATAGCTTGTCCAAAAAAAAAAAAAAAAAAAGGCGAAGCTTTGGGTGGGGGGACATGGGGGATAAAAGAGTTGAAGAAAGCTCTGCTAAAAGTACACTGGATAGTAATAAGACACTTGACTCCTCAACACCGTACGTCAACATCCTTCACTTTGAGATACCGTTACCACTTTCAACATTGGCTATCGCGAGACCAGGAACACTGGGGATGAGCGCGTCCATAACTGAATCGGAGTCGTCCGATATCGACGGAGCCTTGCGTCCACCACGGGGGATATGACTCGGCGACGCCACCAGGCCAGGGGTAACCGACAATCGCCCGTCATCCATGAAGTCCTCCTCGGCAGACGGCACAACGCTGCCAGGCGGCGAGGTCGCACTATCCTCCTCGCTCTCCTCCTCCTCCAGCTCCTTCTCCATCCTCATCCGCTTCCCACTCTCCCTCGACGCCGACCGGCTTGCAGGCTCTTCTGATCCACGTTTCTTCACCGCGGTCAGCCTGATCCGCGGCGTCGCTACAAGCGCAGCGTAGCTCCCTTCTCTTCGGACGCGTTTGGGCGGCGTCCGACTTCGCTCAGTATCATCTTCCTCCCCAGAGTGGTCTGATTCACCTTCCGCGTCCTCTTCCAGATCTCTCGAGCGTTTCCGCGGCGTCACGGGGTAAACCATGACGTCCTCTGTCGTAGTCGTACTGCTCTCCTCCTCCTCCAGCTCCTCTACTTCCTCTTCCTCCTCCTCTTCCAGCAACCTAATCTCTTCATCTGCGTCCTCTATCCGGATTTCACCCGGAGTCTGTTGATCGTCGGTCTCCTCTTTTGTGTTAGAGACAGCCTGTTGTGCCTGTAACTCACTAGCAATAAGATTTCCAGCTTCAACGTTGGCCTTGACCATCGCACGCTCGCAAATCTTGCATCGGCACTGATACAGCGGCTGACATGCTTCGCGCCACACCTATCACGTAGCTTAGCTCTAGTTTAACAACGG